AACAATCTATTAGTGGCTTTTTTAAATTTAATTTGGACAAAATAGACATTGTAGTCTGATTTCTTATTTTTTTGCAAATGTTTCTTGCTTTATTAATAATAACAATTTTATTTGAATTTTTTATGCAATCATTAATTGCTAATTGAAATGTGTGGGAGGCACATCTAGTGCCCATTAACATGGATCTCGTATGAGGTACAAGATTAATACTTTCAATATTAAAAAAAGGTTCTTCATTTTCATTAACAATTATATCATCATTGTTATTTAAATTATCATTATCTAAATAATCATTAAGGATATCATCTTCATCATCTTCTTCATCATGATGTATTAACAGCTTGATTAATTTAATCATGTTAGCTGCATTGTCTGTGGTTATCGTATAAATTTGATCAATTCTTATTTCATGTTCGTTTAGAACATCTAGAATAATTTTTTTTAGATATTCTGATGTATGTCTTTCTTTTATCTCTTTCATGCATAACGTTCTTAATTTTATTTCTCCATTATCTATAAATTGAATATTGATCCCCAGTATGGACCTATCATATCGAGTTGCAATATCTAATTTTAACGATATAAGTTTTTGGTATATTTCTTTTTTTAAATTTTGCGAAAAATCAAATGCCATTTTTTTAATATTATTGCGTATATTTTCAGAATTGATGGTTAAATTACCACCCAATCCTACAATTATCGGATCTATAATATTTCTAAATGCTTTGTCATCAATTGATTTTATTGGTCTCCCATGAACTGTGATTAACTCAGTGCAGAAGCGGATTAAAGTGTCTTTATTAATATTAATTTGTATTGTATTAGTTTTGGTAAAAGCATTTTGAATTGTATTATGATTATTTGCATTTTTTGTTATTGTTTTTTTAATAGTCAAATTATCTTCTTTTTTTTTTAATAATTTGAATTCCTTATCGTGGAATCTTTCTATATGTCGTTCAAGATTTGCTGCATGGTCCCCGGTTAAAACTTTACCACAGTTTTCTAGTTTACAAGTAGATTGATTTTTTACAATATCTAATTTAAAATATGATCGTACAGGATTTGACTTTTCCCGAACCATTTAATAGATACTAATATGCTATATGATGATGAATAGATCAGAATCTTTTATTATAAAAATAGAATAAATAAATTTCTTAATAGAATCAGTATAATTTTTTATTTATCTTATCTGACAAGATCTCCCCCAAAAACGTGAATTATATGCAGGCCTACCCTTCATATAATTATGCCGATTTTTTCCTCAAAGATACTAACAACAAACCTTGTACACAGATGAAACTAAATAAGTGAATGGAGCTTACTAATACCATTTTAATAAATAATTTGATTTAATAGAGAAAAGAAAGAAGCAAAAAGATAAGATATAAAATAAGAAGAAAAGAAATAGAAAAGCTGAAAATTCCAAAAACAACTGTCTTTTATTAAAAAATTAAAGTTAATTAAATTAAAACTTTAATGGATACTTTATCATTTTATAATTATCCAATTGAAAAAAATATTAATTAATAAGAAATTAATATAAAACAGTATTTTATTAAAAGTAATCAATACCTGATTTTCTTTAGATGTTAGTTAGAATTATGATTTTTCCCAAATTATTAGCAAGTATTAATAAGCTAATTAATAACTAATATACATATATATATATATAAGAATAAACTTGTTAATTTAGAGAATAGTCTTGTTTGATTTTAAGATTCTTATCTAATTAACTGGTAATTCGCCTAATCTCTATTAAATTGAGTATTTATTAAAGTGAAAAGAAAAAACAATAAACATGGTGGTATTAATAGACATGTAAAAAAAATTCAATTTGAAAAGAAATAAAGAGTTTAAAAATTTCCCCAAGGAAAATTCAAATTTCAAATTTAGGTTAATAATGTTTAAATTTAATTATTTTTTAAAACCGTTTTGAACCGGTTTAAAATATTTATAACGGTTCGGTTCGCTCTTTTTATAGTTTCTTTATAACGGTTCGGTTACGGTTCAGAAAATTATAACGGTTCATTCCGGTTTGGCGGTTCGGTTCGGTTCGAAACCTTGATGAATTTATTTCAAATTATATCTCTTTTATATGGTATTCTCTTCTTCTTTTCTTCGTCTTTGGTCAAAATCGAAATGAAATCTTTTTTGTTTGACATGATTCGGCTTATTTCGTCCCTATAATAAAATTTAACGTATATTCGTCTATCCAAGCTTGGGGTTAGTTGTTGATAGGAATCCTTTTTCCGCTATCAGTAATTTAGCGTGTCTTGCCATGTATTTTGTTGTATTAAATTCATTCATTTTTTTCTACACTGTCCAATTTTAAGGTAATTTCGTCAAAATTTTATTTGTATTTTTTTAAATATTGCTTAGAATATCATCATATTTATCTATATAGTTGGCTCAATCGCATTTATATATAAATGAGATTCTATAGCTTTTTATATTTTGTTAATTTTAATTGGATATCTTTTTTCTGTCAACCTTTTCTTTTTTATTGGAGATTCCCTAATATCTATCAATGATGTATTATATTAATTGATTTTATAGGCAATGAATATCAGAGTCTTTGTTGCAATATTTTAAAAGGGTTACAGCATCTAGTTTATCGAATAAGATTTTTGTTCATTTTGTTAAAATTCTATATTAGGTATAAAAAAAAATTATCTATAAAAATATCACATTCGAATATCTAATAATTACAAGTGTACCGATACCACATTTAGGAGCTTAATCAGATACGATATTGCAGATATTATATTGATATCGGCCAGATAATCGATATCACTAATCTGATTTTACTCGCTCTACATATTATATATTTTACCTTAACTTAAAAATAAAATTTTAATTATCTAGTATTTTAGGGTTATTTATTCAATTATATTCATATATGTAAAATTATATATAAATATTGATAAATCATTAATCGTTGTGTAATTTTTTTTTGTTCCAAAAACTTATTTTTAGAAATAGAATCCCATCTAGTCCATCTGATCAATGTAACATGTTCATGAGAATATTTAATATATTTTCTTAAATATCAAAAAATAAAATAATCGACCTGATCTGGTAAAAAATATCGGTACATTCCAGCTAATTTTTACTTGATATTAAGAATAATTAGAATTAATTAAAAAATGAATTACATAAAATAGTGAGCATTTATTATTGAATGATTAATCCATTTTGAAAATTTTAATTATTTTATCGATACAAGTAGGGCTATGCCTATATTAAGTAAAAATTCGGATTTAGCAATCCCATTCAATATTTTTAGAGTTTTGGGTTATTTTATGATGATAATATTTTTATTGTATACATAATTTCAAATTAATATTTGTAATGTTTTAAAAATATCAATTTTAAAAAATAGAATAGCCAAAAATTTGATATTATTTTTGGCGCCATATATGAAATACACAAGAATTCATATATTCAAGAACTCAAAACTTGGTTGAATATATTTTATTAATATTCATTAAATATATGTTATATAGGCAAATAATTTTAGAATAAATTATAAATAATGTAATAAATTGGATTATTCCTATCCACAGAAAATTTTTAAAAATTGATTGAAACCATATATTGTTATTTTCAATTGCAAGATGGATAATCCTTTAAATTAAATCAAATAATTCAATAAAAAGTATTAAAAACTGTAAAATATATAATTTTATTAAAAGACGCCCGCCCCCTTTCTGAAAATATTTATACACTTTTTTAAATCGATTTTGAGAATGAATCTGGCCGCGTCCTAAACCGATTTTTTCTTATAAATATAAATGAAGAGTTATTCTTACTAAATTTTTTTAAAAATTTAAGGTCGTATTATTTCCAAGAACTCGTTTTTAGTACTTATATATTAAATAAAATGGCCGGACATTGGAAAAGTCAGTAAAGGTATATCATTTTTATCCTATCCATGTAAGAACACTATCTTTCCAAAATCTTATGATTTTTGCTAGTTTTCATGGAATTTTTATGGGTCATTAAATTAAAAATAAATAATAGATCCTATCACTTGATAAACCATGATATTTTTTTTAACAAATTATTTAAATTATAAATATTTTAAAAATATTGGGTAGATCTATGCACAAAAATAATTAAAATAGCCCTCATTTAATAAAAATTTAGTTAGTCTTATTAATTTCTAAATAATAAAATTAAATCTATATAAAATTTTTAATAAAATTATAAAAGATATCGTTCATGGGGCAGAAAAATTTATTTTTAGTTCAGGAAAATATTATGGAACCATTAAAATATTTTTTTTCTCTTCAGGGGGCTCAAGCCTGCGGCTTCCCACCCCCCTTCAAAAAAAATACTAATTTGATTTTCTGAAATTTTATTTAATTCTTCTAAATTTATAATTCATTGTTTAGCAATTTAAATTATATATACTCAATTATTCACGATGACTAGTATAGTATTGTCTTAATAAATGGAGGTATCTTATCTACTATAATAACTCGGTATTTTTATATCAATATGCCGACGGTTAAGAAAGACCGGGAATAGTATTATCCTTGCCATTTTTCATTAATATTAATTAATCATAAAGATTGTAAAGAAAAAACTATTTTTAACAATACGAATCGAATAATGAATAACTCGAATCCTTTAAACAATTTGAATAATTTATATACAACACCAAAATAATATAAATATAGATATTTCACAAAAATAAAATTTTTTATTTAATTTTAAAATATTATAATTTTTTAAGAAATTGGTATTGTCGGGAGTGGACATCATACTAATTAAACAGTAATTTCTAAATTTAAGAAATCTTCATATAAAGATAATAAAATATTTTAACATATATTTTTAAAAAGTAAACTGAAAAGCAGCTATAAACTTGTTTGAATTATTAAATTTTTTTTGCAAAAAGATATGTAACTGTGATTTACTTAACAAACCCTGATAATTATATTTAATTTTATTTTTTTTTAAAAAAAAATATTAAAATTTTCAAAAATTAGTTGACGAGGATAATGAATTCGAATGTTCGGGCGTTTTAAATATCCATACCCAAGATGTTAAAAGCGTGTCATGGCATTCAACACTTGATGTAAAATTACAATTATTGTTTTGTAATACTTTATATTTATATTTCCTCTTATAATATTTTTTTTTAGTCTGGCTTATAACTTAGCTAGTTGGGTCATCCTTTAGAGCCCAGCAGTTCGGCTTGAATCCGGGATCAGGCCTAACATTTTAAAAAAAAACTTTGGGCCGGGGTAAAAATATTCGGGTTGTACTTGCGGGCTTAAAATAAAATAAAAATTCAGGCTCGGTTTAAAAAAATAATTTAGAGAATTAAATCGAATTGAATTTCGGCTTTTTTTCAGACTCAGACCTAAAACAAACTGAATTTGCTTCGGGCCTAAAAACAAATTTTAAAAAAAAATCGCAATGGGCTTATAAATAAAATTTTGGGTCAGATTTGGTCTAAATTTGATTTTCAGGGTTCTGATAAGCTGACTAATGGCCCGATCTTAGCATTATAGTCCCATATGGCCTGCCCTCCTGTATTATCCTTAATAAAATATAGGTAGACCCCGGGCCCGAAAATATATTAATGTTATATTTTCCTTCATCCTATCTATTTTTGCTTTATTTAATATCACAATTAAATAATAAGAAAAGTTTTTTAGATCAGGAGGTGGGAAATTAATGTTCATTTTGGTATCATATTTTTTGTGATAAATAGAATAAAATAGATAATCATCATTAAATTATCAAAGTTCTTTCTGGAAATTTAAATTTAATGCATTATAACATTAAAATAGAGATTAAAATATATATGAAGTTTGGATTTCTTTTAGCTATAAGCTTTTTTTAAAATCCAGGCTGGACCTAGCAAAAAAATAATTAATTTGTCACTGGGAGACGTACTGACCCGGGCTGTTTTTTTTTGATTTTGCAGTTTTTCTAAACGGTATTATAAATAACATAAGGTTACTTTCAGAACTGCAAATCATTATAAATTAATAGAGACCTCTTTTTAATTAGTTTACCTATTAGAATGGTTTCTAGCGTCAAAAGGCAATTTAACTAATTTCAAATTTGCGTAACGCAACGTCTGAAACTCAATTTTTACTTATTATTAAGAGAAAATTATATACAAAAAATTGAAGCTCATCATCTACGATTTTGACCATTTTTGATAATCCAATCGTATAAATGTGAAATACTTCGTGAACCCGCTGCCAGGAGAAATCGCTCTTATTCTCTCTATAGCCTGTTTTTTTTAATTAATAAGTGAAAGCACAATTTTTTTAACCGGTATATCATAGATGTAGTCGGGGGAGAGGGGAGGCAAAGAAAAATCCCCCCTTTGGAAATTTGCTAGTTCTTGTAAACATCATTTTAAGTTAATAAAAATCTTTCCCCATACACCCACACCTTTCTTTCCCAAAAATATATTACTATAAAGAAGAATTTGAAAGAAAAGTTGGTAAAAGTTAATATCTTTTTATAATTAAAAATATTTAGTAAAAAACGCATTTTTATATAAAAAAAAGTGAAAAGCCTAAATTATTTTATAAAATCGAATATAACTAAAGACCTACAATAAGGGTACCTTAAGACCTCCAATAAAATTTTACGAAAAAAACCCAGCCAATAGTATCCCCCCCCCTTACTGAAATCCTGACTACGCCTATATTTATATATACTTACCTCCCTTCCCTCTTTTCACAAGAACACTTAACATCTTTGGAAGATTAATTGCTATATCTTCAAAAGATGTTTTTAAGTTTAAAACTAAGACAAATCGGAAGAAAAATTGACACCTTTCCCTCTATTTGAAACCCTAATCTTACCTGTCATATTCTATCGATTTTATTGAACGATGAGATTTGTTTTGTCTATCAGAAGTATATTGAATTATTTCGAAGCGATGTATAAACGAATTTCTTAATAATATGATAATGTTCTTATTCCAGATACTCTTATCATGTGGATACGATGATACATGCAAATTACATCATTGTCCATCAAGCAATTTAAATAGCGTTGGTGAATGGGAAACTATAACTAGCCTCGACGCGCATACGTCCACTGTTTGGTCTGCCAAATTCCAACCTAACATAGGTCAATCTGAGGTTCTTGGAGATCTTGACCAATCGGAAGTGACCACTATTGATGAGAAGAATTTCGATAGGTTAATAGCGACATGCGGAGCCGATAAGAGCCTTAAGATATGGGCTTGTAATGGAAAAATTGGTGAGATGATATTTCAAAAATAGCTATATATTAGAACCCCTGCATCGGACCTCATTTTTCAAGGCCAACCCTATCCTTGAATGAAATTTAGAGCTGCCCCGGTCCAAAATATTTTCACCGATTCTATATTTGCCCATATTTATTTAAAATAGATCCGATTCTGATATTTACATTTTTTTTGTCATTATTTTATAAGATAATGGAATAATAGAAACCTGTGTATAAATGTTTTAAATAGGCTTTTCAATCAGAATATTCACTTATCCCGCCTTTAAAAATAAAAAAAGTCTCAATGCTTTAAAATTCTAAAAATATATCTTATCTTTATTTATAGATGAAGATTTATAATTATAAAGATATTTAATAATCTTATTTTCTTATAGAATATTTTTTTATATATTTCCATATTTAATTTTTTTACCGTTCAAAATTTTCACTTATCTATTTTGGCCTTTAATTATATATTTATATGATAGTACACTATATATTATTAAATTTACTGTATAACAAACTATATATCTTTATTTGAATAAATACTAAAAAAAGTAAAAACAAATTAAATATCAATTATTAAAATAATATAATAATGATATATAAAATAAAATAACTAATAATTATAAATCTAATATTGGATATCTTTTTTTATAAAGATAAGAGAATAAATTTAAATTCCAGATTTCTGACATAATTGAAAAAATTAAAAGATTTTAATAATAAAATATATTAGCTTTATAGAAAAAATTGAAAGATTTTAATAACATGAAGTTATACCAAATAAATTTACCTGATTTTTATTTGCTATTACGAGAAAAGGAAATGAATTCAAAAATATGGATAAAAATCAGAGACCTGCAGAGGTACCATTTGCATAACCTGGCCCTGCCCTGATTTTTTTCGGGTTTTATATTTTCAGGCCCAACCCAGCTCACATTTTTTTAAAATATTTTATACATATATAATCGGTACAGGTGTAACATTTTAAATAAACTCCGTTTTAAATATTTTTACATCTAGTGATAATGACATTTATGACACACATGTATAAATTTAATATAATTTGTTTTTATGATATTGACATTTATAACTAACTTGAATAAATTTAATATAATTTTTTTTAGTGGTATTGAAATTTACTGATCAGTTAAGATTTAATATAATTTTTTGTTGTTATTGACATTTTATGAGACTTGTCTAGATTTAATATAATCTTTTAGTTTTACTTGTAAATTAAACTAAACAAAATTAACATATTTTTAGAGTATTGAGGGCATATTTTCTTTATATTCGAATCCTTATTAATTTATTAAATTGTAATTTTTTTAAAATTCTAAAAATATATAACTAACCAAAAATAAATAATCATGTTTATAATAGATAAAATTTATTTTTTTTAGTAAGAAAATAAAAGTGTATATAAATATGATTAAAAATATTCTATATGATTGAGTATAATAAAATAATACTTTCAAGTTTTCATGGGCATTTAACTCCTCCTCATTATTATTCAACATCTAAAATATATATATTACTAAATATTAGAACTAAACTATATACCTTTTCTTGCATCTTGCATTCATGAGCTCTGCATTGCCTAAATAATAATGATAAGTTTTACTTTTAAGTAAGGACCCATTCAAGACCTGTTCATTTTACAATCTTTTCTATCAGCCCGACGGTAGTTCCAGATGATCACTTGTTCCTTTATTAAATAATGGTATCTTCTATACCACATTTAAGAGTTCTATTATCTCTATGCAACTTAAAATGAGCAAGATATATATTACCCGCAGCTATCTCATGAATATCTTTCACGTGGATACTGTATCTTGAATACAAGATTCCAAATATGCTTTAAGCACATTATAAAGGATCTATGTCCTCTTCCTTGTCAACCTTAAATAGAAACATAATATAGAGTAAATGATTTAAAATTGATATTTATCATACCCCATAAGCTTGTTTGGCTTTTCCACCATACATTAGCTCAAAGTGTGTATTGCATTACAAAAAAAGGTATATAATTGTCTTAATTATTTAATAATATACATATTTTTTTGGATGATTAAAACTCTGAGGTAGTGAATATACTGAGGAGGAATTAAATGCCCATGAAAATTACTTATAAAACTCACATAAATTTTAAAATATTTAGTATCAAAATAACTCGACACGATTATTGGAGAAGAGGATGAGTATGGTGAAGACTTAAAATTACTATTATGCATATTTTATAGATGATGAAGTTTTTAAGAGGGTTTAAGAAATTGATGAATCGAAGATGCTAGAGCATGATGGCCATCGAGGAAATAAATATTATTATACATTAAAAAAATTAATAGTTTAATCCTAATGTTCCAGTTCTAATTGTTGACAATATAAAATTGTATTATCATTTAATTATATATATTTTTTAGATGATGAATTTACATTAGAGACTGTAAATTCCAACAAAGATTATTTTTTCTCCCACCAGCAGAAATTGGAAAATTTATAATTTTGTGATCAAGTAAAGATATCCAAAGTATAATAATGGTGTGATGGGAGAGAAATTTTCAACCGAGCGGATTATTGGTGATGGAAATGTATATATATATATATATATATATACAATAAATTAATTTGCATATTTTTATGATGCGGAACGACATGGTACAGGAAATGGAGGGATATTTGGATGAACCCGTTCAAGTATACCCGGTGAACAAAGATGGCAGATAATGCAACTAATGACACAGATGCGGAAATAATTATGGCAACTATGTTGCAAATATATAATGAAATACACTGTTTTTAAATGGGCATATTATAGGCCTATGAAAGAATTTGATGTCAATTTAATAAATCGTTGGAATCATTTTGATCGCGGTTTATCTAAATTGAGATTTAATTTAAAACGTTACAACGGTGATTTTTCAGCCGATCCCATATTCTTCCAAAAGTATAATATCGTCACCGATCCGACTTCGATATTAATATCACTACAGCCCTAATAAAATTGATGAAAATTATTATGAGGATTAATTGCGACAGTTTAAGGAAGATTGTAAAAATTATAAGCGCTAGAGATAAATAAAAAAAAATTCTTATTTTACTTGAAAAGATATTTAAACATTAGTAAAACGAGTATTTTTTTTTAAAAAAAATCGTCAAAAAAATGTCCATCAGCTGATCTGAGCTCGATCAGATCGGATTCGGACAGGTCTACGCAGGGCTCTATTTTATATGATACGAGAGACGATTTTTTCTCCTACTTCGCTCAAATTATTTTTAAAATTTTTATTAATATTTATTTCTTAATAGACTCCGGGCAATGGAAGTTGATCAATTCTTATGATAATTTACATACTCGAGCAATATACGATTTAGATTGGTAAATAAATTATACGTTAAAGGGTATCGGTTTAGAAAATTTTGGGGTTGTGTTCCATTTACCTAGGGTGTTTTTAGTAAATTTTTAAAATATTTTATATAGCGCCCATTTTTTAATTTTGAAAGACCTGATTTTTCCAGAATCGTATTTCATCATATGTAGAGCACCTACCCTGTAAATTTCAGACAAGCAACTTTTTGTGTATTTTTTAAAATTTATAAAAAAAATTAAAATATTAAATTAGGTGTAGGTAACAGGTTAATTGTGAAAGTGTCTAAAATTCGCAGAGTAGGTAATCTGTGCATGCAAGAAAACAATTACCACAAAACAGGTCTTTTAACATTAAAAAGGGGCGTTATATATGATTTAAGTTTTAAAAATGTTTCTAAAAACCCAGATTTAATAAATTAATTTAATTGACCGACGAAAGGTTTTTTTGCAAAAATTAGGTTGGGGGACATTAATTTAGAAATCTTAATCATCAAAATTCTGATAAATTATAAATATTTCTTCAAATTGACAAATATTATTCTTCTAAATTTCCTCAACCCCCTTTATTTTTCTTTAAAATTTTATCCAAGGCATCCTACCCTCAATATAATAGCCACGTGTGGAGCCGATAATACAATAATCCTTACTACCTTAGATCACAATTCTAAACCCCATCAAGGAGGAGACGTAGAAGAAAGCTGCGTCGGTAAAACATATGTTGATTCAAATTTTATCGCTCCTAAACCATATAAGTTATCGAACGCTCATTCAGAAGATATTAACGCTATAAGATGGAACCCTAAGCATCACGATTTAGTGGCCACTTGTTCCGACGATTCAACCATCAAAATTTGGAGACTAGTGTTTCAAGAAGATAGCAAATGACAAGTTCTCTAGCGTTGAGTTACTTTTTGTTGGTCTGTAAGAATTCGTTGTACCTCTTCTATGATAAAGGAGCTACAAATATATATCGCTTAAATTAAAATATCACACAATGCATTTCTGATATTTAATGTTGGAAAAGACTTAATAATTACCTATCCCCAATTAACAAAATGTTGGATTGAATACTTCGTTCCCTTAATTTAAAATAAATAAGCATTAGTAAAAATTATACAAAGACACTGTTAGTATTAAAATGATTATATTTCTTATGTGTGTTTATTAAATATTATATACTAGTCATCTTTATAGATTCCGAATAATATATATAACTATAAAGAATAAATATACACTTTTAGCAAAAATCGGATGTTTGGAATTATAATTACTGTTTTATATTGTTAGTTATTTGTGTATCTTATACTCCCCCATACCTACTGATGATAAATACCCAGAAAAACCCCCAATCTCAATGACGCAGCAACATTTCAAAAATCATTTAAAATGACCCCCTTCCCTTTCAATATTGCTAAAACATATGTGTTTAAAATATTTTGTTTTATTGTATAGGAAGTCATATAATTGTAATATATTAAAAAAAATTGAATGATATCGTAATTTTAATTAGAGATCGGGCGCCCAGGCCTATTATTTTAAAATAATTTTGGATTGGGTCGGATCTTATATTTTTAAAAAAATTTGGGCCAGGCCGGATTGGGCTTGAATTTTTAAATATGATATCACTCCATTTTGTGAAATGAATTGTTATATTTTAAAATTTTTGCAAGAAACTAGGCGCCATTTTATTTGTATAATATTTTTTTACAATTAAAAAAATAGTAAATTTTTCTTATTTAAATAAATTCTGGCCAATTTTTTTTATATTTCGGGTTGGGCTTTTTTGGGACAAATAAAATAAAAATTGGTTCTAATGCAGGTCACTAATTTTAATATCAATTGAAATACTACTGGAGCATGATGGTTCTGATTTCTGAGTAAATGAGAAAATGCATCAAGGCCCTGTAAAATTTTTAATGCCATATTATTTGGATAATCTTTTTAAACAGATAAATGAAGAATTTTTCTTCTTAAGAAGAATAAATATTTTTAGGAGCAGAAAATGGATTCGCCATTCTATTTTCTAGCATTTACTTTTTTAAAATTATTTTATAATTCAATAACAAATTAACATGAGTTTCAACCTTACCCTTAGATTTTTTACTAGAGCTTGCATATATTACGACTAAGAAATAATTTTTTTTAGCCTCCAGCTCCAAAGTGGCTGAGATACTGGTTTCTATAGATTGAAAAAATGGGGAATTTTATGAAAAAAGCTCTCCTTTTAATTTTAGATATCTTTGGATATTTGAGCTAGAAACTCATTTAAATTTCTACATATAGCCTAGTGGTAGTTTAAAGCTATATCGTTAAAAAATTTTAATTCATTTTAATGAAAATTTATGTGTTCAAATTATTTTTCAACACATTAATTTTATTATATTGTTAGGTAATAACTCTTTTTCGCCGGTTCCAGAAACAGTGACTTAATTTTTACCCAAAATCCATCATCCCTTTAGTATAATTATATCTGATAAATCGAAAGAATATTTTGGTTTAAAAAATCGTCCATTTTATATAATTTACTTAAAATTTTTGGTGATCGATAATAATGAATTTTAGAATTTATTTATTAAAAATTGCCCATACAAATTTCTGGCTACGCATCTGTTTCTTAGACTGTCGTATATGTCTTTCTTCCCACCTGGTTACTTATAAAATAATACATTTTTTAACCACTATATAAATAAAAAAAGTTGAGTACGTCTAAATACAAAAAATTGACATTTTATGGCTCACGCTTGATTGATATGTTTACTACACTTGATATGATCCTAGGGTCCACTTCTAAAAAAGTTTAAATTTCTTAGTTTATTCTCATTTATGTTAATTTTAACTATACATTATTTTAGTGGTTACGAAATGGCCTATTAAGATTTTGATACATGTTTTCTGAACCGATAAGTTTTTATGTACAAACAAAAAATTTTTACTTGCAGATCTCATATATTCCTGATAAAATTTCATGAAAGATTAGGACCCAGTGCTAAAATTGTTTAGCTAATTATCCTAATAATTTTTGTAAATTAAAGCTCTGGCAATTTTGAAGACCCTAATTCATATCCATTCTTAAGACTGAAAAATAAGGTCTTTTAATCTTAAAAAATTCAAAAAGTGGGAAAATTACAAGCACCCAAGAAAAATAATAAATTTGTTTTTTTAAAAAAAAAGATTTATAAAATCATTAGGAAAACAAAATGATTAAATTTTTTAGATCCCCTTTATCCCACTCAAAGTGAATATTTATCCAAGTATAACCGTCAAATGTGCCAGGTCTGCGTAAGGTTCTATAGTATATGCACCTAAACAAATATTCAAAATTGCATAAATTCACAAAATTTTATATCGCTTTTATCATATCTTGTCAGAAACCCTTAATGGGGTCTAACTATAACTAGTCAAACACAAAATATTATGGCCCTCTATCTTGTCTCGAATTTTATAGAATTTATTTCTGCGACTTTTTTTGTTAGAAATAACACATTTGTTGGGAAAAAAATAGATCTATAAAGCCGTTTATTTTTTGGCCTATCTGAGGTATAAAGAATCAATAGTATGAGTATTTCAACAATTACTAAATATAAGCAAATGAATATATCCTTGAATAAAAAAGGCAATGAAAATTATCAGATAATTATTGAAGTTTTTAATATTTTATCTTCCCATCTTTGTTATATTCATATGAGAGTTGTAGAGGTTTAATGTAAAATTTATTATTACCAGCGATGAAACATTTGATCAATTTTTATATAAACGATAAAAATTAATTCAAATTTTTAAACCGGTCGTTCATGATTCATATTTTTTTTTATTATTTCACAATATTGAACATTTCATAAGTTTAAGTAAAAATATCTGAGACCTGATGAGGGACTATTTGCAAGGCCCGTCTCTGATTTGAAAAAGAAAAATCGGCCCAACTGGGGCCTGGCCCAGCCCTGGTTTTATATTTCCAGGCCCGATTTTTTTAAAATATATTGTATTTAGTTTGAATTTTTATAGTATTTTAAATATTTGTTTTTTTAAATATACGACCCATAAAAAAATATTTTTTTAGGCCCGGCTAGGCCCAGGTATATTCTAAAATATCTAAAATACGGGAAAATATATCTAAATAAAATAAATAAGGAACCAAACCAACAAATCACATAATTTTAAAAAATTGGGGGTGGAGGGGGGGGGGGCTAAACAAATATTTTAGAATAATGGGAGGGCAGGTTATATTTATTTAAAACTATGGGTTAACGAACTTTAGAGTTAAAACCGGCCTATCACTGACCCTAATATAGTTTTCTTTTTTTTTAATTAAATTATTTTTAAATTATCTTTTGATAAAAAAAGATTTATTCATACGGAATGTAATTTGAATAAAGAATCAATTATTTGGCCTTGCTATTATTCGAAATTTCGATCTTAATTTGATATGATGGAAATTAATCTTTTTTTTTAAAAACAAACTAGCATTTAAAATTTGAATAGAAATCATTAACTTTCATTTGAAATCCTAAAATCCATTGCCAGAATATTAATTATTATATAATTTGTTTTAAAAAATGGCTTATATAGTAAATTCAATGCCGACCTCATTCACAGCATTTGTATTGACTCTAGTTATAATTTCTAATATATTTTTGGCGCAAGTTTTGCCAATAGACCAAAAGAATATTGAAGAACTTACAAAGAAAACAATTAGTATCGATTTAAAAAACAAAAGTATACAATATAATACATTCATAAATATAGTAAATTACATAATTTAATTTTATAATAATCATTCAGTATAAGTAATAAATATTCATCATTGTAAAAATAAAACTATTGATATCCTTATTACTAGAGGCACTTGAGTATTTATTTTCCGCGGGAATTTAGGGACCTGGCTGCACATCCAAAATACTAAAAAGATTATAATAAAACTTCATGCCCCCTTCCTAACTCGATGTAATTAGCTACGAATCTACTCGTCGTATTTGTGAATCATTGCTATTTAACGCAAATTGTTCATTTATTATAGTAATGTACTATTAGACACGTAAATTTGAAAATAATTCTTAAATTCGATGAGAAAGTTAGTAAAGCTAAAACGGGAGAATAAAATTAAAAATCGATACAAGCTATTTGATGTGTATATGAGATATTGGTTTATTTTAAAATTGTCATATTTTTAATATTAAAACTCTTAATTTTTTTAAATAATCTTAGAAAACAAAATGGAATGTATATACATTTTAAAAAATATAAAATAAGAATGTTCGGAGAGCGCGATGAAAAAAGGCAAATACGTTCATTCCTACCCTCCCGATATCACTAAATACATTCTTTGTAGCGAATTGGGCTTGATCACCGTAAAACCTTGCCCAAAATCTTTGGTCTTCAATCCTTTCTATAGTGTTTGCACTCCGGTCGCTGATTTGGCCGAAAATATGGTCATATTTATTAAAACTTTGATTGCTAAATCCATCAAAATAAACAAAAGGTCATCGTAAAAAAAATAAGTTTTTCCCACTTTTTTAGATATAAGTAATAGTGTTATAATTTGCGGTTCACCTATTGATCGCGTTTTATTATTTAGATAAAATTATATAATAATTTAATTATTAGTAAATAAATGAAGAATAAACCTTAACCTTTACACTATTGCATGTGTGTCAATGACATATAATAATACCTAGACTGACAATTCATTCATTAAAAGTGTACATCAATACAAATCAGCTAGAGACGCCATCTTGGTTACTGTAATAAATATTAAAATTTTAAACGAGAGCCTAATTTTATATTATATCTGATGCAAACTTTATTAAAGAATTGCCTGATCATCGAGATAATAAGAAAGTAAGTTATCAATTTAATATTAGTTTTTAACATGAAAATAATTATTATAAAGGTTACCAAAATGGCGGGTCCAGCTGATTTGCTTTTAACGACGCTTAAAAATGCATTTTAATGAATGAATCGTCAGTCTAGGTATTATTATATGTCATTGATGTGTGTAGCATACCATACCTTTACTATTTATTATAATACATTTTTCATTGGCAACGACTTTTAAATATTATTATTTTTATATGTAATTTCTAAATATATGTCAATGAAATTATTTAATTGTATATAATTTTTTTTATTATTATTTAAAGCATAAAAAAATCATATCTGTTTGTCAAACTAATTTGCGTGATAAGAAAAAAATTCACGAATAAGAATTGGCCTAAGGGTAAAAAAAATATTGTTTTTTGAATAAAATCATAAATTTTGAAAATGAATTATTTTTAATAAACATATGGGCTAAAATTTTTATAACAGCCCATCAACAGTAAAAAGAGGTTCTACATAGCCGGGGTACCGTTAAATTTAATTATTATTTTAAAATTACTTAGCGCGAATTTGTGAAATAGTAGTCATCGTTATAAGCGCTAATTTGCTAATCAGTCTTTTTATCACACAACTTGTACAGGCTCATAGCCCGAAAAATATTAATTTTACATTTTTTTTCTTTCTCCTTGATCAAATACAAAAAATCGGGATTTGGAACCTAACGGCATTTGGCTAAAAAATTATTTGCTAATACAGGCGCATTCCAGATTTTTTCAACCGCCTGCCGAATATTAGATGACGGAAAAGAACGCGTCTAAATCGTAATAAATTCGATTCTTTATTTTTAAAGTAATTAGAAATATAGGTCCGCAAAGCTCGACCCTTTAATAATTTTTGCACAAAAATTCCTACCAGTCCCATAAATATTTTAGATAATGTTGGTCCAGGCCCGTTAAATATTTTAAAATTGAATGAATAGCATTATTGCTATAGTTTTTAAACAAAATATTTCTCAAAAATACTAGCTCTCATACAATATATTAAGAGCTATTTTTATAAATATTTATTCTTTCCCTTTTTTAGTATTCTCCTCTAACTTATTTTCGCAGGACCTTGAATTTGAAAGAACGGTTACACAAAAATAAAATTTCGTGGACACAAATTCAATTCTTATTTGAAAAAAGGGTATTTATTTTCATCGTTTATAAACATAATATTTCGGTATAAATAAATAATTTTATATAAAAAAAAAACTTCGTAAAAAAGTGGTTAAAAAACTTTTTAAAATATATTTTAAAAAAATGCTTGTATAAAACTGGATGTCCTTTAATGATGATATTTATCACAATTATATATAAAATAAATTAAGAATTTAGTCTTCGTAATAACTTTTCATGAGTCATCCGAACTACGCAAATCACATTCTGATTGTAATCTTTCTTTATATAAAAAAAAAGAGGGGGGGGGGTGGATTGATTGAAAAAAATTGAGTATATTAAAAATACAATTGTTTTTTTTTAAATATATAAAATATTTAAAAATTGAATAAATTTAGTCATTCTAAATTGGATATTAAAACTATATTGAGACGCCTAAATAATAAAGAACCGTTTCAGATATTTTTTTATGTTATTAATGTAAAGAATAAAGATTAAAAACAGGTAGGCGGGAAATTAGTTTGTGACTCTTGTACATTTTTGTGTATATTAATTTTTTTTTTAAATGAAAGCTTCAAAAGACCCAATCAGTGGGAACCCATTGTGTTTGGGTCTTCAATTTTTCCAAGTTCTCTGTTATTATTTGATAAGTCTCCCAAATATCGTTATTCACTATGGTCAGATCAAACATGTGGTCATAATTCTGCTTTATAGTAGCACTCTCCTCGAAGATGTCAAAACAATCTGAATCCCTGGGGTTCCTGAGGGGGCTCAGAAGGAGGGCTGGGGCTAGTTTGCTATCCATACCAGGAATTTTGGGTACTTTAAAATGTTTTTTTGAATCGCTGTTTCTTCTTTCGGAATCATCAATTGGGGAAGAATTTCCTGTATTGTTGTCCACGTCCACCATCAAAGCATTCAGGTTATGGGTGATAGGAAGTTTAGCTTTATTAAACCCATTATAGATTTTTGATTGGATTGAGTGGGTCTAAAAAAATTTTTTTTACATATAATCATTAAGAATTTTTAAATGTTTTCTAATCCTCATTTGACAAATCAGTTTAATGAACGAGTGTGATATATATTAACAAATAACATTAAAGGTATGATACAAATATAAATAAATAGGGACATAGAGATAGTGTTAAAAATTGTTCAATTTTATTTTATATCAAGATAAAGAGGATAATATTAAGCTATAAAATTGGTTTAACCAATGGGCTCCATAGGTGTCGAGGACATTTACCAAACCTAAATTTACCTTTTCTCGTAAATATCATTTTAAGTTAATAAACCCCCCCTCTCACCTTCATTTCTCCAAAAATTTTATATACATATTATAAACAATTGAAATAAAATGAGTAACTAATTAAAAACTTTCAGAAAAAAGGGATATTTATGGGAAAAAGTTATATTTATATAAATGTAATATAACCAAATGCCTTATAAGTGGGCCTAAAAAGCTCCAGAAAATTTATTGGAAAAAAATTACTTAATCCCCCCCCCCCCAATGAAATCCTGGCTTCACATACAGTCGGCTCAAAACTGACTAAAAGTAGTGTAATTTATCAACTCAAGAGGAAAAGAATTAAATTTGAATGAATAAAACAAAATTTAAGAAAAATATAAAAAGTAGTAATAAATGAAATGCAATAAAAATATATTTGTTTTTTTTTAAATTAATTTACATTTTCCTTGATTCTTTCATCATTGTGATCATCATCACTAGAATTCTCTTCACTTTCACTAGAAGATCCACCTTTCCTTATTCCATTTTTGGAATTGCCAGTTTCCGTGACATGGCCTTTTATGTAAATATGATCACCGAATTCTGGTGGTCCAGGCTTGCTATTTGGTTTAAGATGCCCACTGAGCCTCATGCTAACTGTGGTTTTCCACAATTTTCTGAGCTTATCAACTGATGGACAAGCTACAAATACCACATAAGGTGTAAAAGTGGGATTGCTCAAGTATTTAAGTCTCCTAGGATCATTACAGGTTATAATGCACATCTTGCCTGAATCAACAATGCGTTGAATGCTGTCAAAGCGTGTGCCATATAGATTCCCGCCTAATTCACCACTCTCAAAGTAGGTTGTACCCTCTGCTATGTCTCTCTCCATCTTACCCCTATCTAATTCAAAATGGTAGGTAATGCCTGGAACCTCTCCATCTCTTCTAGGTCTGGAAGTGTGGGGTACAGGGGCAGCAAAGCATGACTCACCTTTATTAAGTAGCATTTGTTTGATAAAGGCTTTTCCTACACCCCGTGGGCCAACCAAAATAAGACATTTGCGTTGAAATGGTGGCATTTTGCTAACCTCTCTGTAAACTCTCACATCACAGCTTTCAAATTCATTGTTGCAATCAGCCCTATATATTAGTTTTCTGGTTCTTTTAGTAACAACAGCACCACAAGCTAGCAAACGTTGATTACTGGACAAAGGAATCTCATTGTTAGCAAGTATTTCATCAGAGTAATCCTTAATAATATTTGCATTTTGCTTGACAAAGGCCTTACGACTTTCCTCCAATGTTTGGGAAGGGATGAGTTTGGCACAGGAGCTGTCCTCAGGATTATTATTAAAGTAATCATCATAAATGGAATTATCTATAGTTCTATCTTGTGAGCTACGGTGAGATACATTGTCAGATAAACTATTAGTTGATTTGGTGCTCATAGTATTGGAGGAAGAATTACAAATCCTGACTTTCCGAGCCTGCCACCAATTTGGATCTTCTTTGTTTACTATCTCAAGTATATCACCATCTTTAAACTTTAATCCAGCATCTTTCGAAGGAATAAGATTGTCTTTTTTAGGGTCATAATCAAATAAAGCTTTGACATATATGGGTGCTGGATAAATTTTTTCAGCATAATTTGGTATTATTTTTAGAGTGATACTACTATTATCAGAATTTTCTATATTACTATTCTGAAGGGCTATCTTTAAGTTATGATTGACCTGCTCCATATTCCGTATTGGCATTCCATTCATTTCCCGTATAATATCCCCTTGGTGTAGAAGTCCTTGTTTATCCACACATCCACCTTGAAATATACGGGCCACTACAAATTCCCCATTATCTTCTTCTTTGATAGTTATTCCCAGTGGTTGATTTTTATAAACTTTAATACCTATAATTCTCATTGGGGTTTCAGAATGTACATATTCATCTATAATAGAAATGGTGTTCTCACGCGACTTATTATTATAAATATTAGAGTTGTAACCATTATTATATTTAGTGTTTTTGGAATTATTATTTTCTAATATAGCAAAATTTTTCAACTTTTGATCATTTCCATTTGTAAAATTATTATAAAATTGTTTTGAAGCTATTGTATCATGTGTTTCTAAAAGTGAAAGAAAATAATGATTTTGAAATAAATGAGAAATATCTTTAAATAATTCTTGTGACTTTGATTTCATTAGAGAATTGTTTAAGATCCATTCATAAATGTCATCTATAACTGACAAAGATTCAGTAGAAATAGGTAAAAGTATTTTTTCATTTTGAAGTGTATTATGAGCTTTTATTAATGAATTTATAGCCTTATTTTCTGCAAAGGCTTTCAAAAAAATCACATCATTTTCCTGAATGTCTTTGTTACGCTTAAGTTTTATACCCTCCAATTGATATTTGATTTCATCCAAGGGTGAATTTAATTTAGAAACCTTTGACATGGTTAAGGATTTTGGAAAAATATTTTATGGTAAAAAATGAAATTATGAATATTAAAGCCCATGAACTTAAAATATTTCTAGTTAGTGCTATGTAATGTAAACCTTACAAAAAAGAACGTCATATATATACCATAGATATATATATATGCAATAGAGCAACAGTTGGTTCTCTCATAAAAAGTTCATCAAAGGGATAAAATATGAGAAATAATTAAGAGGACATCCACGTTTTTGGGCAGGACGCTGTTACCTGTGAGTGTAAGAGGCAAAGCCCCTTATTTAAACGCCCATGAGAAATAAGAGGAGAGGTAAAATCCAATACCCGATTAAATAAAAAATTTGATTATGGGAGGGATATATTGGCTATATTAATTTTACCATTAATTAGAATGTGAGCAAACCTAGAAATAAACATGATTAAATAAAATAAATACCAGTACAAATACAAATACAGTACTATCACTTTCTTCCAAAAATTTTTGCGCCGGGTGCTAACAATATTAGTACTTAAATCCAAGATAGATCACCTGAAAAGGTACATTTAAATCATCCTACAAAAAAGAACGAGTAAATTTTTGATAAGTCAGAGACAGAGATGCCCTATATCCTTAAATTTTATGTGTTAGAATGATGGCAAGTAAGGTTAAGAAAACTAATTTATTAAATAAATTGAAGAATTACATTAAGTTTCTATATGTACAAAATTTCTACTTTATATAATATTATTTTATAATATATATATATAAAATAAATAAGTTAATAAAAATCGCTATGCATTTTATAAAAGGTCATAGGCAGAAATCGCGATATAAGGCCATTTGAATATTATAAATTATTTTAATTAATATAATAATTTATTTTAATTAATTTAATTAATATAATAATTTATTTTATTTAATATAATAATTTATTTTAATCAATATAATAATTTATTTTAATTAATATAATAATTTATTTTAATTATTATTGATATTTTCTAGGAAGGCAGGTGATCAAAAAGTAAAATATTTATTTAATTTATCATTTTATAAAAATTACAACTCTCTCATCTTTACAATTTTTACAGCTATATATATATATATTATTATTTTAGTACCATTTACATATTAACGTTTACGAAAATTAATATATTTTAAAAGGTCATTAAAAAAAGAAAAGATTTTTACAAAAGATCATAAATTTCAAAGTAAAAAATATTCAAATTATATATTAACATTTCCACCCCCCCTTTTTTTTATGTTTTCTTTCCTCAGTTTCTTATCTTCACTTCCAGTCATTCGTTTCTCAATTGCTCCATCAGTCATTTGTTCGTATATCTTTAGATTGTTTGTTTAACCATCTGATTATCGTTAGTTGAATCGATTATCGAACATCATGAAACATCGTTGGTTGAACATCATTGTTGAAACGTCGTTATCGTTAGTTGAACATTGCTTGTTGATTTGCTGTTTGTATTGATCATCCCATTTCTCTTTCAAAATTTTATATAAATATTTTTTACAAACTTTTATTTATTTATAATAATCATTTTCTATGTCGTAGGTCATATTCTCGCTTGTGAACTTGACTTTGAATTTTAGAATTTTGAACTTGTTCATTTCTTCCCCCTCTAAAAATTTTTTCACCTTTATAATAGAAATTTGATATTTTGTTCGTTGTTTAGTCTGAGTCATATCTTTTTCATTGATTTGTTCTTATCCTGTTATCATTATCATCTAATCATTCGCTTGAACATCATCTTCACACTGTTCATCTCGTCATTTTATCAATGTTTGTAAATATATATTATGATCAATACATCTCAAATAAAATAATTTTGGAATAATGATAATGGAATAAATAATTTATCAGAATCAATCATAAGAATAAGAATCATGGAATATAGAATATTAGAATATTTGGAATTGTTTCATTTTATATTATAATTTTTTATTTATTTATTTTTATTTTTAAATTTTACTCCTTTATTTTTCAATTTAAACACTTTTTTAATATCATAATTTCTCTTCAACTTGTTCTTTATAACAAAATTTCTCTTTCTCCTTCCATTTTCAACATACGATCTCCATATCGTACTCCTAATCTCTCTTTCAACATCATGATATTTAATCACCTTTGTTTTAATTTTCTTTTCCAAAGTTTTTTTAAATTTTTTATTAATTATAAAATTTTTTATTTTATTATTTTCTTCAATTATTTCATTATTATTTTTAATAACTATTATTTCTTTAATTGTTATCAAATGATTTATTTCTTCTAATTTATAATAATTTATTTCTTTTTTAACATTTGGTATTAATTTACATAATTCAATTTTATTCAAGTTTTTATTATTATGATATTTATAATTATAATTTTCATGCTTTTTACTGTAATATTTACCTTCATAATTTTTACTATCTACTTTACTATTTTCCTAAATTATATTTACAATTTTATTAAGTATGTTCCCAAAAACCTTTATCCATGTCCTTCCCAGAATTGCAATTTTGTCATTTTGGACTACAAAAGCATCTAAGTTTTGAGTTTTGTCTTCATATCTCACTTTTATTTTAACGATTCCTAGCACCTCTATTCTTCTCCCATCATAGCCAGTCAGTTTCGTATCCGATTTATTCAAGACTTTGATTCCTATCTTTCTAGCAATATTAATCGGCAATATCGAAAATCGTGACCCGGTGTTGATCTGCATGTCTACCGGTATATCGTTAAGGTATATCGTAACTTTGTAATCATCATTTGCCTTGTCATCATTATCCATTCTATTTACATCAAATCTGTTCTTGTATGACTGATTATTGTTCTGATTATTATTGTATCTAGGTATGTATCTCGATTCGTTCTGATGTCTATAATATCTATAATTATTTTCATTATATTTGTAATTATCATTATTATTATATCTATAGTTATCGTAGTTATAATTATTTTTATTGTTAAATCTTGAAAAATTATTATAAGGTCCTGGTCCATTATACCCCCTATCATTATCATAAACTCTAGGATTATAATTGTTTCTATATCTTGGTTCATAATTATTTGTATGTCTCGAATCTTCATAATTATCGTATCTCGGTTTCCACTGATATCTATGTACTTGCGACTTCATGCCTTTATCGTGCTCATCGTATTTCATCATCCTTAAATTTTTTACTAAATAATCTTCTAATTAATCTATTAATTTTGTTTTATCAATATTGTCTTATTTTAAATATTTCAACATTAAAATTTTATTATATTTTTATTCAATTTTATATTTTAATCATCTCTTACGTTTTTTAGAATAATATTAAAATCATTTTCCATAATCCTCTTTCGTCTAGCTTCACCATGTTTCAGTATAATTTGTAGCGTCTTAATTCTCTGCCACCATGATATTTTCTAGGAAGGCAGGTGATCAAAAAGTAAAATATTTATTTAATTTTATTTAATTTATCATTTTATAAAAATTACAACTCTCTCATCTTTACAATTTTTACAGCTATATATATATATTATTATTATTTTAGTACCATTTACATATTAACGTTTACGAAAATTAATATATTTTAAAAGGTCATTAAAAAAAGAAAAGATTTTTACAAAAGGTCATTAAAAAAAGAAAAGATTTTTACAAAAGGTCATAAATTACAAAGTAAAAAATATTCAAATTATATATTAACAATTATTCTCTTCCCTAACCAATTGCAATCTCATACCAATCGTATCCGACACAACCGGTTTTTTTGGCAATCATGCCCTAACCTTCTTCAAATCCCTTGGTAAAAAACACTGGTGACCCACAGCAAGGCTTCTATCTCATACAGCGCATATCTATTGATATATGCAGATCTAACTGTATTGCCATCCACGGCTCCCTTTTTTGACCTCCTCCCACCCAACATACAATTTATTATACTAATATTTTTTTATTATACAGTTTTTATATAGATTTTATTTTACAAATAGTTTACATGATATTTTTAATATATATTTTTAAATTACGTATATATGTTTTACTTTTAACGTTCAATTTGACTAATAAAAATTTCTATATGAAAAAAAAAAAATTCTTTAAATTCTATAACAAATTTTAATGTAAAATAAATATTACAAATATTAAGAAAATTGAGGGATGGGGGAGCGTATCACATAATTTGGTCAAATATTAAGTGTACATAATTTTGTTCGTATGATCTTATCAGGACATTGAAATTAAATAATATATATTAAATTTAATTTATTTAGGATTAATCGAAATTCATAGGACACTTAATATGAGTCGTAATCATTTAAGACTTACACAAAGAAATTTAAACTTAAAATAGCCATCCACCTTAAAGTAATTAAATTATACTGAAGTTCTCGGGTATAAGCTTTTGTTTGGCACAACTCTTTTTTTTATTAGCCTATGAACGTTTAAATATTTGGACTTTTGTGCTTATAAGTACATGCGGCTTGCCCACGAACGTGTGAAGAGCTCCTCATTTTTTTTCTTTCCCCCTAAATTAAATGTCCATTTTTAGATTGTGAGGAAAACCTAGTTTAGCTCTATTGCCTGTCAACGCTAGACAGTGTCTACATGGCCGGGGGGGGGTAGGAGACAAATGCCTCCAAAAAATATTGGCATTTTGGGGGGTAGGTATTAATTTTGGGGGGTAGATATTGATTTTTGGGGGGTAGGCATTTGTTTTTGGGGGGTAGGTATTGATTTTTGGAGGGTAATTTTTGACTTGTATTATGATATTTTTAAATCCAATAATCGATATGATTATCGTTGATTTTCTGAAAAATGTCAATTAAAGAAAAGATATCTGTCAATTTATAAATATTATACACTATATTTATTTTTTTAAATTTTTAGAAAATTCATTTACATAATGGGATTTAGATTTTCACAGTATCAATTTTAAATTATCAATATATATTTTTTTATAATAAGGACCTTTTGAATAAAGAATCCCTTTTATGATAAGATAATCCTACTCAATTAACAATATAAAGAAACATTTTTGGATTTTAAAAAGGTAATTTTT